GGCCCCGAGCTCATCCCGGACCCTACGTCCAACAGTACGAGTCCTTGGACGGTGGCGTGGATTGCTATGCTCCATTTCTGCACCGAGAACGGAGCGGACCTGATCGGCGAACTGAGGCAATGCTCACGTCAAGATGCAGCCCTGCCACTCACTGTGGATGCACAGGCCCAGGAGGTTGTAGCGCCTGCTGCCGAAGCTGTCTGGGAAGGCATGTTGCGTGCGGTGGCCAAACCGGAGCTGGCCCATCTCCAGTCCCTTCACCGAGATCTGCGAGAGGTCATGCAGCAGCTTTGGTTGTGTTCCAATGCCCTTCCGTCTGCCAGGCAGGGACTTCTTGTGGCTGCTCACTTGACTGCGGGAAGGATTGTGGACCCGTTCTCGTATGCGCCCTCAACAGCACAGGAGTGGCTCTTCCCGGACCTACTTCTCGAGGCCGACGCCCCGATCCGTGGCTTTATTGCAAAAGATGCGTCACAGGACTCAAGAGTGCAAGTGCTGCTCCGGATGCCATCACCCTTCCTCCGAGTGACCGACTCTGCGGACCCCACGGAGCTAGAGTGAATCGGCGAGAACACCAGCCGCTCTGCAACGGCCCCGACCTTGTAGCAGTTTGCCCTGCTGATCGTGCTCAAATAGGGTGTGTTTGTTCACACCTTATTTTGATCACGGTCAGCCTTTTCCTCGGGCGCTGCATCATAGTGTGTATAGCCATACGTAGAGTCTCGGCTGTCACTGAAAGGTTCTTTTCGGCCTACGGTCCCAGATTGTCCTGGCAACGCTCTTGGCAGCTTGGTTGCACCCTTTCTGCCTCCGCGTGGTGGGCTGCGGCAACTGTGTGCCCGCCCTTTGCCATGATGATGTGCGCAGGCATCAGTGAACTTCTTGCCTTCCTCCCAGGTTGGGGTATGGACTTTTACCCCCACGCCCTCCTTGCCCTGTCTTGGGCTTCGCATCACTGGCGCTGTGCTTGCGGGCTCGTCCTGCCTTTGGCATGGGTCACTCGCCTCAGGGCTGCTGTGTTTGGAGAACCTGGCGTGGCGTGCGGTGCTGGGGTCCTTTCTGCGGGTCTTAAGGTTCGGGGAGCTAGGCACCGTATTCCAGTGCGTCCGTGTCGGAACAGTGGGCCCTGCCTGAGGATGACGCTTCTGCTGCTCTACCTTTCAGTTGCCGATGGCGTCACTCTCCACCTCGGCGCGGCGGTTGTCTCCTCCTGGGGGCTGAGATCCTCCACTGCTGTGCAATTACATGCCCACGGCTTTCATGAGGGCCTCCCTGTCCTCAGCACGGGGCCGGTTCTGCCCACTCCTACTGCTGAGGAAATGTGTGAGGTTTACCCTGTCGGCCGCACGGGTAACTTGCTTCTCCCACGCACCGACCGCAGTCGTCGGCACCTTGCTGCCTTTGTGGGTACACCGCCTGGGGCTCCCATTCTCGAACCTTGCCCTGTCCCTTTCTTGGTTGACGAATGGTTGCATGGGCCGCTCTTGCATGCCCGGCTTGCTGCCACCTTGGGATTCCCTGCTGGTGTCTTCTCTGTCTCAGCCATCCGCGGGGTCCTTCCCGGCCTGCCAAGTGAGCAGCTTCTTCTCACTCCGGCTGCCTGTTCATGGCGTCAAGTCTGGCTGCCCGTTGACCTCCGTCCGCTAGGAGGCCGCATATGCATGCTTGTGTGCCCCCGTGACTCTACTTGCAGAGCCATTGCGGTCCTTGCTCTCGCGGCTCAGACGATGCAGACTGAAGTTGACCTTCTGCTTGCTAAGTGCCCCTGGGGATGGTTGACGCTGATGTCCCAACCCCTCCTTCTGCAGGACGTCGACACTCTGCAATTTCATATTGGCCCAGCTGCTGATGCGCTGCAAGGACCTGTCGGTGCTTCTTTGGACCCCCCCCTTTCGTTGTTCTCGGCCATGCAGGTGAGCCTCCCGACGGCACCCTCAGCCCACGAAGCTTTCCCGGGCCACTCGCATAACCAAGCTGTCCTTATCACCCCTAATGGACTGGTGTATGTCGAAGCCCCGGTATTTGCTGACGCCGCTACGTTTCGACGTATTGTGTCTACTAGGGCATCTCCCAGTGCTTGTGGGGGGGTCCTCCGCATCTGGCATCCGCTCCCTTCCCTTCCCCTTGTGCAGTTCATGGAGGTACACTGTACTAGGGATGAGGTACCTTGCATTCTCGATTTCCGTCCAGTTGGCTGGAGGCTGACTACTGTTTGCGTTCCTCCTCCTGTTACTGCTCTTGCGGCTGTTACGGTTGCTTCTCGACGGGACCGCAGCAGCCTCCCCCACGAGTGGGTCGAACAGTGCGCCCGTGGCGGGTTCGGCCTCCTCCATCGAGAGCTTGCGGTATTACCAGATCAGGTCCTCACCAGCAGTGTCCCGATTGTTGTCATGTTCTTCCCGCATGTCTTTCGTCAAGACTCTTCCTCCTCTTCGGAGGACCAGGTAGGCGGCTGGGACACCCCGGGTACCTCTGACACCATTTCTGCGCTGCAGCACACCCTGTTGCCCTCCCCTGCTAGGGCTTCCTCGTCTACTGCCATGCCCGCTTGCACTGGAGTCACCCGTCTGAGTTTCTCAACACCACTTCCCCCAGTGCCTTGGTGCCGGCCGCCGAGCCTGGCTCGGCTTCCTCATCGGTCGTTAGCCAATTCAGCGGCACTCGGGGTATTCTTTTGGCTGCTTGTGTGTTGCGCGGGCCGCACCATGGCGTCGGGAGCCTCCTTGCTTGGGGTGCGTGCCTCGTCATCTCCTGTGGGATGCCTGGTCATGCCGTTCAGATGCACAGTGCGCCTGCCACTCCTAGGGATGTTGTGGTTTCAGCTAATAGGGCTCCTGACCGTCAGGTTGCGGCACCAGCAGGTGCCCACACGCATTTACAGGCCAGGTGGCTTCAGGTTGGCGACTTTGGTGATGGACCGCTTTGGTCGGTTCTTCCCTCCGCCAGTGAGGTGTTTCTCATTACTTGCCGCCTTTGGTGGCCCGGATCTTCGGTCCGCCTTGAGTTTACCAACACTGAGAGTGCTCGCGATGCTGCCGCCGAGCTTTACCGTCAGGCCATCCGAATAGGTCGCCCTCAGATTGTTGCTGCTTCTGCAGGCCCTACTCTTGAGGCGGTTAACCTTGTGGCTCTCCCGTCCCGCCCTGAGACCCTAACTGTTCTTCTGGACCTAGGTAGAGAGGTTGTCTGTGTTGAGCTGCCCAAGGAATACAGTGCTGATCATGTTCTTGAGGCTGCGCAGTTCGCGGCTGCTTCGGCTGACGTCCAGATCCTTCGGGGCACGGCACATCGGCTTCGCCAAGGCGACGTGGTACGAGTGCGTGTCAACACTGAGGCGCGCACCCTAGATGTCTCAGCCTTTGTTATTCCACACAATGTTGGCACTGCATCGCGCTGGCTTCAGGAAGGCCGAATCGTGTCGCTGCTTCATCCTGTGGCTGGAGTGTTATCTTTCGAGGTCCCGCGTGCTTGCGACCTTGATACTTCTGTGCTGGGTGCGTTGTTGCGCAGCGTTACCCCAGGCCAGCATGTCTTCGTTGCGCTACCCGGAGCTGACCTTCTCCCTCATGCCGCCTTCGTCGCTGCCTTCCCTGGCCAGGACTGTGTCACATATCGGGTGACTGATGCGTCTGACCCCTCTGCTGTGGGTCTGCACTTGGCCTTTTCCGGCGTCTTTGAATCTTTCCCGGCCTTTTTGGAAAGTCTTCTTCGCAGCAACCGCCCCGCCGCTGCTCTGCTTCGAAGGTTGCAGCCCTTCGGCCTCTCTGTTCTAACCTGGGAATGCACTTCCTTTCCTGGTCGAGCTGACTGTCGCTACTGGCATGTCCATGTGCAGGCTGACTTTGCACGGGCCCGGGAGCACCTTTTGAGCCTCAGCTGGGAGCCGAGACTTGTTCGCACGCCTCCGCCCCTCCCTCCCCCTAGGGCTCGGGTTTTCCATAGTATAGGTTCCCAAACTAACGCCCCCTTCATTTCTGCCAGCACGCCGGCTGCTGTACTCCAGGCACCCCCGTCTGTTTGCGGTGCCGGTGTCACACCTGACTCTGCGTCCGAACTCGTTGACCTCTGGTGCGATGCATGGCACGTCAAGTGCCTGGTTGCATGTCTGCCCGGATTCACCGTGTGGGCCCTTCGAGAGGGGAGCCGACTCTACGGTATGTGCACCCCTGTCCCCTCCTGGGAAGCTGTTGCACAGGCCCTTTCCCTGTCCCTCTGGGAGCTACCACAAACGTTTCTGTCCAGCGACAGCCGTGTTTGGCCATTTCCTCGTGACATCACAGGTGTTGCGATGCAGTGTGTCAGTGTTGGGTACGACTCTCCTGAAGGAGTCTCCCAACTAGTGCGTAATTGCGAGGCCGAGACGCCTAGCCCGCCACCGCCCCCGGGCCCTTTGGCCTCTGCTGCTCTTGGCTTGCCTTGCTTGCGGCGGTACTCGCTTTTGTGTGCTCTCAGCCTCCTTCTCCCTGTGGTGTCAGTCCGCGTGATGGTTGAGCCTGCTCCCTTGTTCTCTCGCCTCGCGGAATCCGAGACACTGCAAACTCGTCGCGACTTTTCACGGCCCTGCACCATGTCTTGGACTCACGAGCTTGCCCGGCAAACGCACGGGTTCGCCCTTTCAGCACCTCAACTTGGCGCGTATGTTACTGGCGCTTCACCTCTCACCCAGAAGTGCAGATGCACCTTTGGCTTCCCGGGCAAGGCCCCGTCCACTTGAGGGTTGGTGCACGCCACCTCGATCAGCATCTTAGTGCTTACCTTGGCGCCTTCTTGCCAGACTGCGAGTACGGACTGCACGTCGCTTTCGATTCCAGCCCCCAAGTGCTTGATCTCATCGTTTCCCCGCCTTCACCATATGGCTGGTGGATACTGCGTGACTCAATCGGTTGCGAGCTTCTCCGACCGGTGGTCCAGCACTACACTTCCCATTGATGCTCATTCTTCTTCTGCGCTGTGGAGCCGGATGGGGCTGTCCATAACGTTGAGCCCTCTGCCGAAGTCCGCCATATGTCTCCCTGCCCGCAAGGGGCTCGGGCACTTATTACTAGCGTTCTTCCGGGATTAGAGGGTAAACTGGTTGATGGAGTTCTTAAGATTGTCGCTGCCCGGGCTCGGCTCCCCTCGCTTCTCGGCAGTCTCGCGTTGCTCCTGCTTTGCCGCCACGTGGCCTCTATGCAACCTCCCCAACTCCTTGCTCTGGCCCCAGTCGCTGAGGCTTCGCCGCCTCCTCCGACAACCATTCGCATCTGGACTCTCAACATTAATGCACCCGTTGACCTACCATGGCGTCCTCAGGGTTACCCGACCCGTTGGTTGAGAGAGCTGATGTGCCGTCTTCACCATATTGACGATCCCGGTGAGTTCCGGCCCACACATTCCACTACGGACAGCTCCGTCCAGCATGTCCTTTTCGTGCCGGTCGTTCCTGCTACGCGACCCACGGTCCGGTTTTGGCTGCTCCACTGGGGGGACGCTGCGGCTGTTACTTTCGGGCATTCGCCCTTTAGTTGGGATGTCGTCTCTGCCCATCTCAGAGCTCTCTTCCCGGGGGGCCATTTACCAGAGCGGAGCCCCGCTCTCTCCTACGCCGGTCAGCTGTACCCGCCAGGAGTTGCCTTGCCTGATTTTCCGTCCGGAGCTGTCATTCAGATTTTGATTGGTGCTCTTGCAAGGATCCCGGGCGATGATGACCCCTGGAACCCGGATCCCCTGGTGGTTGAGGGACCTTACTTCCGGCATGTTCCGAGTAGGGGTCCAGCGCTAGAACCTGCCATCCTCCTCGATGGCCACGGGAACCGACGTGCCGCCGGCGCATCGCATGTGCCTTTGATTGACCAGGAAGTCCAAACGGACCTCTCAGGCAATGGCACCGGCCTTGATCATGCTACGGTTTCCCGAGTTCACATGCTGTCTCAGGAGCTTTCTTTTCACACTTCACGACTCTGGGCCGGACTTGCTGAACCGGATGCAGAACCGGCTGGGGAATCGCAACCTGTTCTGCGACTCGCCTCGCAAAGTACTTGTGCTGCGGTCAGCCCCTCCACTGTTGATCTGCTCGATATTGCGAGTGTGTCGAACTGCCGGCGACAGGATAGGCTTTCGGTGGTTGTTCTTTCCTTAGTCTGCACTCGGGGTTTATTTGGACCTTCGGCTTTCGGGCGCCTCCTTGTCCTTGCGACCTTAGGTGCAGGTTCGATTATCAGTGCCCCGCCTGCTAGTTCAGATGACGAACAGTCCGAGGATGCAGGCCCACCACCTGTCCAAGCCTTCAACATGTCTGCCGCTGAGCCCACCCCGGTCTCTCGACCTGCCGGCCCACCACCACCAGAGCCTGTCAATGCTCCTTTCCAGCCTCGTATGTGGTTCCTCCGCGCCGCCCGGCCGCTGGAGGACTATGCGCTAGGCCTCTGGCCGTCTTCAGTTGAAAGGGAGCCCGCCGCGGACGAGGACACTGTCCGCCGTGTTCAAGCCGATTTGCTTGGTCTTCAACGTGGCCTGCGAACCTTTGCTGCCGCTATTCCCCTTGGCACCCCTTTCTGCATTCACAATCCCTTCACCGCCCGACAGCAATGCGAGCTTGTTGAGTATTCTGCTGGCCCTGAGATCAATCCCTTTGTTTTATTCAGGGGACACGCCCGCAGCCGGGGTTGGGCCGATATTGTGCTCCTGCAACCGCAGCCTGATGCTACTGCTGTACACCTTATCGGGTGTCCGCAAGCACCTGGGAACGCAGCTGTCGGCATTGTGCTGGAAGGCCGCCTTGTGCCCTGCTGTCTCCCGGTCTGTGTTGGGACCGCGGCATTACGTGCTCTGCAGCTTGACGGGAGTGAGTACGATCTTCGCCCCCCTGAGGTTCAGGAAGGGTCCTCGGTCGTCCAGTTCCGCAATGGCGACTGTCTGGCTGTGCGACCCCGCTCTCAGTCACGGTCTCCTCCTCCGCCGGAACAAGTCGCCGCCTTTGCTGCCCTGACCAGCGAAGCTGAACTTGCTGCCGGCAGCCCCGACATCCCCTTCTCCTCACAAGGTCGCCCCGTTTTGTCTTGGGGCTGTTTCTCACTGATCTTCTGCCGGTTTACCCCATCAATGTGCCTCTCTCTTGGACTCCTTGCTGGCGCTGCTCTAGCACAAGGCATGCATAGACCAGGTGGATTTCCTTGGGGTACCGATCCAATCAACCGTGACTTTTCCGCCATTACGGCAGAGGACCCGGTCTATGTTGTTCTGCATAGTCCCTTCTTGGGGGTGTTTCCCCCATACACAGCCTCCCATGACACTCGCCACGGTCAAGTCTGGGCTCAGTTCCTCAACGACGACCCGGGATGGGCATCTGATTTCTTTCCCGTGTGGCCGGGCCCCGCCTTCAACGAGTTGTCCATGGTCCCGGTGGGACAAGATGCGGCCCTTGTGACCATTATGCTGATGTGGCGGGGCCACCATAGGGCCACGCTTACTCCGCGGACCATGACAGTGGCGTGGTTGACAGCCTTTATCTCGCGTCACATCAATAGCCCCGTTGATGGCATTTCCCTGCCGCACGGGCTCGCGATCTGCGAGCTCTTTGATGTTCCGCCCGCGGCTTTCCGTTTTCGCAACGGCGATGTCGTGTACATCCATGACCCTCCGGAGGACCCTTCTGAGCCGCTCGAGTTTGTCGATCCTTGGCACCTGCAGGATGGCCTTGCAGCTCACCACGCTCCCTGGGCTACGGGCTTTCAACTTATGTTCGGCATTTCTGTGCACCTACTTCGCCCTAATCGCCCACCCCTGTTGGCCTCTGTCTCAGCTGGAGAAGCCTGGTGCCCAGAATCCTTTACGTTCACCGGCACTTTCCGTAACCACTTTCCGGGCATGTGGACACCCGTTCAGTGGTCCGGTGCCCGGGCATTGCAATTGATCGAGGTCCATGGTGTTGCGGCTCAGGTTAACGTGGTTGCTGCCTCTCCCGAAGGCCGCCTCTGCCGTACCGTCGATCGGATCGCCTCGCGCGATAGCCTTGCCGATCAACTGCACTTCCTCCCTGGATCCCTGCAAGTGGGGGGAGTTCCCTCCTACGCTCTCAATCAGGCCTGTGAGCTTCGGAATGGGGATGTCGTGTCCGGCGACTTTGCCCGAGGGGCCTGCAGCGGCCGTCCACTTCTGTGGGGTTTGGCCCTGGGACTCGTCCCAGCTTTCTCCTCCTGTCGTACGGGCACCTTTCTTTCGATTCTGCTGGGTTCCCTTGGGGCTCATTCCGGCTTTTTCTCCCGTCTTCTTATGCTGACCTGGTGCCTACATGGCGCGCAAGCTATGGTTCCGGAAACTTCGGTGTTGAGCCAGACCACATCCTCGGTTATTCCACCAGCTGCCCCACCCAGGGTCTCGGTCACTGTTGCCAACCCTTTTGCGCCATGGCATCGTGTTGAGGCCGACCCACGTCACCTTTTCGATGATGTTATGGCAGACGCCCACCGCACTTTGACATCATGGCACCGGGGATTTGCTGCCACTGGCCTGGTTTTAGAAGGGTCCCAGGTTGTTGTCCCTCTCCCGGGAAGTAGGCTGGTTTGCCTTATTGCCTTGGGTTTAGGTCAGATGCTCTGTGTCATCCTGCCGTCCTTCCTTACCCCTCGAGACCTCACTCAGGCCCTCCAGATGAGGCTTGGCCGTCGCGTGAGCCTTAAACTCCAGCCCGGATTGGGGGCCACCGCTCACTCTGATCGGCCAGTCCTCGCACTCCGTTCTGGGGACGTTCTAGCTGTCTGCCCTCTCCAACTGGACCCCCCGGTGTACTTGACATGGGGTGCTGCCCATGCTGCTGCGGCCTGGCACTCTGATTTTGTGGTGGCCCAAGCCTCCTGTGTGCTTCTGTGGTCCCCTAGCCGTTCCGCTAGGGTCGTGTTGCTGGGCCATCAGGCCAAATGGGACGCAGCGGCAGCTACAGTGCTACATCATGAGGTTGAGCTTGGCCACCACCGCTGGGCCCCCTGCCATGGACATCTCGGCGCTCCCCCATGGCTCGTCGAGCAGTCTCCCTCTCAGGGGCATGCCAATATTATTCAGTCTAGTGGGGCCACAAGGTGTGTTGAGACCGCTCGGGACGCTGCGCATGATTTCTATATTGCCGGGTACTCCCTTCGACCTGCCTCCAGCCGGGCTTGTCAGGTTGCTCAGACCAGGGACGGAGACTGGTGGGTTCTTTCTGCTGCATTCGGTCTCCTGGGGAGGCGCCCTCTCCTCCCTGCCCAACTCGCTCTTGTCTTCTTCGGGCTTCTTGAACCTGTGTGGGGAGCGTCCTCCAGTGCCTCTGGCCGCTGCCCCAGCGCGGACTCTTCCGAGGCGCGTACCATCCGCACTAGGCGACGGCCCAGCAGAAGTCGCTCACCCTCCTATCCCTGGCCTGGAAGGTTCTTTCCCCCTGCCATCGATTTCAATGATGGGGAGCCCTATGTTCCGCTAGGTGGCTGGCAGCCCGATAACCCTGATGGCCCACTCGCACGTTACTTCCCTGGTCCCCGACCACTCACGGCTCGTGTTTTGTGCCCCCTGAGGGGCTGGAGCGAGACCAGCTTCCTTGACACGACCAGATCTATCGAGCAGGAAGGTACGCGCCACTGCGGGCTTTGGGCCCATCGCTTCTTCCCTGTCCGGGCGGTGCTCCCAATTTCGCAGATCACAGTCGCTCCGGTTGCCCCCTACGGTCTTGCTACTGTGGCCCTGCACATTGAGGGTTGTTCGGCCGTGGCTTTTGCCTCGGTGGACTCGTCTCTCGATGACATTCACCGGCTTGCTGTTCGCGTCTTTCCTCACACCCGGTTTTGGCGCGTCATAGCACCACCTGTGCTGCGCACTACCATCCCGAATGCGCATATCCGGCTCCGCAACGGCGATGCTTTTAGCCTCCTTCCCGAGCCTTCCGATCCGGGTGCTACCCGTTATCCCTTGCTGCAGTATGCCTCTCTGGACCGGGCACGGCAAGTTGCCAGCTGGTCGCTCCCTTTTCGCTTTGACTCGGGCGGCTACGTTTGCCTGTGGTACACGGGCCGTCGATCTGGCCACAGTATCCGGATCAGGGATACCGGCTATTGGGATCCCGAGGGCCCCACCTTCTGGAGTCTTAATGGCAGAGCGCTGTCAGGGTCGTGGGTCCCTGTCCTCTCTGGGGATCTCTCCAGTCTGCACCTGGTACACAGCACCTCCACTGGTGAGGCCCATGTCCTTCTCTTACTGCCCCCCGATCTTGAGCCTCAGGGGTTGTTGCTCGCTGGTTGCAATGCCTACCGTGCACCACCTGGGTGGCGCCTTCTACCTGCTCTGCAGTACGTTCGGGCAGACAGTCCTCTCCGAGATGGAGATGTCCTCGTGCTGGACCCGACTGCTGATACGGTTTGGGACCCTACCGGACCGCCCCCGCAAAGCCTTGCGGGTCCGGCCCCGGGCCCAGTTGCGCGCCCATGCTGGGGGCCCTCGTCTTCTGCTGCCGCCGCCATCTCTGGTCGCTGGGCTTGGCTTGCGGTCCTTTCGGCCAGATGGCCCCGGCTTCTCGCCCTGGCTTGCTTGGTTTGTGCCGGTCAGGGTATGGCTTCCGCACTGGACTTGCCGGAACAGCCAATTCGTGTGGGTTTCTTCCCGTGGCGGGCCGCAGCCGCTGCGGCTGATCTGGTTGATCTCACCAACCGCACAGAGATTGACATTGTCCTTCTTAGTCCCTTCACAGGTCCCCAGGAGGCTGGGCGACTGCCCACTGCCTCGACTACCGGAGAGCTCAATGCTCTCACACGCTCCTGCGACCCAGCTTGGGGTGCTGAAGTTGCACCTGTGTGGCCGACAGCTGCCATACCGGCCCTACTGGTTGTTCCCCGTCCCCTGACGCCAGACCTTGTCTGTTTAGCGGTCTCCTCCTTGGATCGGCACTTCTCTATCCTTGTGCCCTGCACTACCTCTGTGTCCTGGCTGGGCGCGGCTCTCCGCTTCCTACAGCCGATGCAAACTCTCTCGGTTCGTGCACCCAGCACATCTGACCAAGGCGTGCGCTGGCGATCTGGAGACCTGGTTGTTGCATTGCCTCCTGCAGCCTTTGCGCCCGAATACCAGCCCCCGTGCTTTCATTCCGACGCTCGCGGCATTGCGCCATTTGGGCTGTTGATTTCTCGGTCTCCACCCGTGTCAACTTCATACTCTGGAGGCCTGCTGTTCGAGCCATCCGGGGACACGCACCGGCAGGCAGCCGCTGGCGTGCTCTTGATTATACTTTTGATGGTGACTTTAGCCTCCACTACCCTGGGCGTTGGGTTCCGGTTCCCTGGATCGCCCAGGATCACGCCCACTTGGTTTTGCTGCCGGAGGACCCTTCGAGGGTCAATGTCATTGTGGAAGCAGACGGCCATTGCTGGTGTGCCCTTGTCACAGCCGTTACCGATGCCTGGCAACTCTGGACTGAGCTCCCATCTCTCTCTTCTCAGCCCCGCGTCCTTGGTGTCCCACACCAGGAACTGCGCCAAGGGACGACCCTTCGCAGCGGCGATGTTGTTTCCGGCTGTCCAGGACTCTCCCCCTCCTGTTGGCTCCCCTGCTCTTTGGGGCTTGCAGCTTGGTGGGCACTCGGCTCTGCCTCTTCGGCCCCTGGCTATCTTCTCATGTTTGCTGGGCTGCTCGCTCTCCCCCCGGTGTCGGGGGCACGTCTTCCCCACGAGAGCGGCAGTCGACAATGGTCTTTGGCAACGTCAAACTGTGACGGGTCAGCTGCCGAACCGCCTGGCTTTCGCCACCGCCTCTGGGACCCCGCTAGGGGCCTCCTTGGACCTTTTCCGGGACCATCTCTGTTTGTCCCACCTGCTCTCCAGGAGGCCGCACCCGCTTGGTCCGATTTCACCAGGGTTCGACCACCTCAGGACCACCATTGGGTCCCGGTTCCTTCGGCTCCGCTGTTTGCCACTGTGCTGCTCCAGTGCCCGCCTGCCACTAGAGCTGCACTTCTTCCCGCTACCTGTGCTGTGGCTGATCTTGCACGAGCCAGCAGCCACTTTATTCCTGACTTGTCATACGTCTTGGCTCCCCCGGAGGCTTGGTGCGGTACTGCTACGACCTGTACCCCCACCTTATTCCTCCGGTCTGGTGACGTCTTGACTCTGGCCAGCGCCACGTGGGCCCCGCGCCTCCGCTCACCTGTCGGGCGGTTTTGGGAAACCCTACTCCAGGCTCGTCAGCTAGCCTTCTGGGGCAGCCCCTTTCGCGTTAGGCAGCCTGGACTCCTCTTTGCTTGGTCCCCGGGAGACCCGGTCCCGCTTACTGTCCCCACTACCAGTGATGAACAGTGGGATCCTGAACATTGCACCTTCCGCCCTTCACTGGTCCGGTTCAGTGTCGGCCGCTGGATTCCAGCAGCCCGGGTTGACGACCTTGGGCTCCATCTTGTCCCTGAAAGCCCTAATCTTCATTGGGCCCATGTCTTGTCTGCTCGACCCCCCCTCAGCGTTCGAGTGGTGCCTCGCCATGGCGCAGATGGACTCCTGCGGGATGGTGACAGCGGCTCCCCCCTGGGCAGCGCTCCCTCCCGCACCTTGCTCCCGTTGCTTGCCAGTCTGGCCGTTCGCGGGCGTCTGGGTCGGCACTGGTTTTCTCTTCTCAGTGCTTGGGTTCTTCTGGCTGGGCTGCCCGAGTTGTTTCCGGGTACGGCGGCCCTTGGATTCCCGCCGGTCTCCACTCATGCCCTTGCGCGGACTCCAGGTCCTTCGCCCATTGGAGTGGATTTCGGGTTGCTCTCCCGCACCAGCTGCTATTTTCGTGCATGGGGGGCGCCAGATTGGCACAGCCCGGATGGACTCTCCTGGGCGGCAGATATTCACCAAGAGTGTGCCGCTCAGGCTTCCTTGCACCAGTTGTGGTGGACGCACGACCTTTTCCAGAATCTCCCGGCATCCGCTCCAGCGCCTTATCGCCAGGCCTTCTCTAGTTTCCCAGTATGGTCTGGCGGGGTACCCGATCAGGTTCTCATCGCCACTGATGGGAGTGGCGAGCGGGGAGGAGCATGGGCCTTCTGCGTATGGGTTTGGTGGCGTCACAAGTGGCACCGGGTCGGGTGGTTCGGCGCCGCGGGGGCCGATACCCCTTGGTTCTCTGGAACTGCGGCCCCCGGGAGTGGTGTCTCCTTTCACGCTGAGCTTTGGGCCTTGCAGGCTGCGGGCCTCTGGCTCCTCGCTTGGGTTGACCGCCTCTCCCTTCTGACGTCGGCAGCGCCTGCCAAGGTCACCATTGCGGTTGACAATGCCTCTGCGCTCCAGATTGCGGCCGGGCAAGCGCAGGCCAGTGAGCCAGTCACCACCCTTACTCGTTATATCTGGCAGGCTGTCCAGTCCCGTATGTCCACTCGCTTTCAGCACGTGCACAGCCATGTTGGCATTCTCCCTAATACGATCGCCGACTTTCTCGCTGGCTGGGCTGGTCGGACCTCGTGGCATCCCTGGAAACATGTCGATGCTGCCCTCCCCGCTCTGCTGCAGGAAGCGGCGCCTTGGCTCTGGCTCATTCCACATGCCAAGGTGGTCCAAGGCAGACCCTGGATCCGTCTCACCGCGCAGTCACTTACCCATGCACCAGCAGGTCGAGGGCCCGCTGTCCAGTGCCCTTCCACCGAGGTGCCCTGTGCGGCTCCGTCGCTAGAGCCCCAGCGACCGTTGCCGCTAGCACCCTCGCTATCCCTCCGCATTGTTACGGCTAACGTTCAAACCATGCGGGACTCTTGTGCCTCCTTCTTCAATCCGTCGGGTCATGGCCAGCGGCGTCAATACTTGTACTCTCAAGTCGCCCAGTTGGGCCTCGATGTGGTCTGCCTTCAGGAGACGCGCAGCAAAGGGGGCCGATGGGATACAGCCGGCCTTCTCACCTGGCGCTCCGGTGCCCAAAAAGGTAGCTACGGTTGCGAAATTTGGGTTAGGCCCCAGATAGTTAACCCCCCCCTCCGCCTGGATGACTGGCGGATTGCCTGTGCTGACCCAAGACTTTTAGTCATAGTCTGTAAACGGGCGGACCTCCCTTTGGCCGTTGTAGCGGCGCATGCTCCACACGCCGACAGACCAGTGCCCGAAATCCACCACTTTTGGTCCTCACTTCAATCTCAGCTGTGCCAGCTCCCACGGGCCCTCACTTTAGTCCTGGGTCTCGATGCTAACGCTGATCTCCTTTGGGCCGATGACGACCATGCCTATATCGGGGATGCTCTCGGTAATGGTGAAGAAGGCGCGGGCGAGCAAGGCCTCTTTGATACCATCCAGCGCTTTGGCCTCCTTGCCCCCGCCTCCTTCTCGGACCTTCAGGACGGCCCGGGCTGGTCCTGGGAGCATACTGGCGGCACCCGCAAGCGTCTAGACCATATCTTGCTCCAGGCTGGCCCCTGGTCCTGCCGTCGCACCCGACAGCTTCCTGAGCTGGACATTCTCAATGGTCGTCGGGATCATATGCCGCTTCTGGTCGAGTGCGACCTTCGGGGCCAGGCCACCCGGCCCAAAGCGCCGGCCCCACCCCGCGCAACTGTGCACCAGGCACGGGCCATTGCTGCCGATCTCTGGGGAGCTCTGCCGTCCACCTTCCGGCACATTGACAGCGTGGGAGCTGAAGTGCAGGCTCTTAAGACCAAGCACTCCTGCTTGCTCCGGGCCCTTCCTCGCCCTCCACGCCGCCCCATCCGACAGCCCTACATCACAGCGGCCTCTGTTGCCGCACTCGATCGAGTTCGGCAGGCGCGAGAACAGCTCCCCCGGCTGCGGACCAATCTGGAGTGGCAGCAGCGTCGCTTTCTCTTGCAAGTCTGGCGTCTGGGTTGCACACGTCGGCACCCCGATGCTGCACCCCTGCGCCCTGATCCGACGGGCCTGCAGCATGCCCGCCTCCTTCTCCAGGCTTGTAATCTTCATGTTCGGGGGCTTCAGCAGAAGGCCCACTATCTTGCTAGGTCCGACAAGCTGGCTCATTTCCGCACACTTACTCTGGAGGCGACCAAACACTGGGAAGCTACTGGAGTCCCTCTGGAATCCATCCGGCATCTGCGTTGGGCCTCCCGCAAGGCACACGAGCGCCGGTCTGTCCACGCAGCCGGTGGTTTCGATATTGATAGTGAGTTGGAGGCCCAGTTCCGTGATCAGGAGGGGGCCAGTTTGGTCAGCCCAGTGCAGCTCTCCAGCGCCGCTGAGCGATGGATGAATGAACCGCGCCTCCCGTGCGCCGAGGCGGTTCCCACCCTCTTGCAGATGGAACAAATGTGTGTCCGACAGGCGGCCGCCAAGGCCCCAGGACCAGACGGACTGCGGAACGAGCTCTGGCGCGCGCAGGGAGCCTCAGCAGGGCAGTGGCTCTGGCCCCTGTGCGTGCGCATCGCTCTCCAAGGAAGGGAGCCTTTTGCCTTTAAGGCTGCCATTGTATGCGCCCTTTACAAGAAGGGCCCTGCCTCTCTTCCTGCCAATTACCGCTCTATCGCGCTATTGAACGGCATCGCGAAGCTCTGGCATTCGCACCTGCGCTCCACTGTGGGTGGCCACGTCTTGTCGCGATACGAGCCTATGCAGCTTGGGGGCCGCAAAGGTGTCCACACAGGATTTGCGTTGGCCGCCTTCCGTTGTGCCTGGGACCTTTCCATCTCTGCCGGCCGATGTGTTGCCGTGGTCTTCGTCGATATCCAGGCCGCGTACTATGAGGCCAGTCGGGATCTCCTCTTTGAAGGCTTTCCTGATGACGTTGCCCTGCCAGAGCACCACCACCTTGCTGGGCTGGTTCTCAGCCTTCAACAACAAGGGGCCCTAGCTGCCTTGGGGGTTGCAGAGGATGTTGTTGCGCTCCTCCGTGACTGCGTCGCCCTCTCCCACTGGTCACTCTCTGGCTCTTCCAACATTTTTCTTGCGTCACGGGGGTCTCGTCCAGGTGACGGCCTAGCTGATATCCTTTTTGGGGCCCTCTTCGCTGTCGGTCTTCAGCATATCCAGCGCGTTGCCACCCGCCAGGGCATTGTTCACAACAGCGCCGGCGCTGAAGTCGGCCTCTCCCCAGGGGTCAAGCCCATCGGCTGGGCTGACGACCTGGCGGTTATGGCCGATTTTGACCGACCAGCTGATCTTCTTGTTCAACTGCCCGTGCTGGTTGGCATTATTCTTGACACTCTCCGACTCCTCCGATTTCGTGTTAATTTGGGTGCGGGTAAAACTGAGGCCCTTGTTGACATCCGGGGGGAGGGCGCTCGGGCGGCCCGCGGAGTTCTCCTTACTGGCGATGCCATGTTAAAGATCTCTGATTCTGACAGCATCAGGTTGTGTCCCGAGTATAAGTATCTGGGTGTGGCTCAGCTGCCTCGGGATACGGGCCGCCGCGATTGTGAGCTTGCCGCCCAACGAGGCGCCGCTGCGGCCTCCCTTGCCCGCACCCTCCTCTGCAGCAATTGCTTGCCCTGGGAACTTAAACGGGCTTGGGTCGCGGGACGAGTCCTGCCCTCCGCGTATTCCTCCCTTGCTATGTCTCTGGCCGACTCCGGCCGTGCCACGGCCCCTCTCGCTGGCCTCTTCGATCGCACGGCCAGGATCCTGTTGTCCTCGTGGCAGGTCGGGCACAAGCTCACCACCCCACTGCTTCGGCTCCTCGCTGACATTACTCCTCCTGACCTGGCTACTACCATCAGTCAGTGTCGCCTTTGCGTCCAGCTCTTCTGCAAAGCACCCACGGCGGTGCGTGAAATCGTCGACGCGGCGTGGAACAGGGCCCTCCCTTGGTGCCAGGCCCTCGTTGCAGCATGTATGAGGGTTGGCGTTGCGCTTGAAGTTTGGGACCCTAACTCCCCTCCCGCCGTCACGGTTCTGTTTGTTCATACCCACAGCCGTGCCCTCCTTCGCGCCTGCAAGGCACTCAGCAAGTTTGGACATAGGTACTTTGCCTGTGCTCAGCTGTGGGATGACCTCTCTACCCGTAAGGCCACCCAAATTCTAGGACCCCCCCAGGCCCATCGATGCCCGGTGTGCAGCATCATCTTCCCGAGCCTGCACGCGGTCAGAGCCCACATGCATCGCAAACATGGCGTGCTGTCCGATGTGACTGCCTACATGGCCGGCTCTGTTTGCCTCTGGTGTATGCACGATTTCCACTCTTCGGATCGGCTGAAATACCATCTGCAATCCCACCGGGCCTGCTTGCATGGACTTCGGGTGACGGTAGGGCCTGTCTACCAATATGGGTCGGGCACCAAACGCAAGGGTAGAACGGCCCACAGGGGTGTTCCCCCCACAACGCCTATGCGGGCCCTGCAATGCCACCCCAGCACAGCGTCGGGCCGCTGATCTGGGCCTGCCTGCTGATGAGGAGGAGCTGCAACAGGAGTGGGATACAGTGCAGCGCTCACCGGCCCTCTCCGACCTCGTCCCCGGCAACCTGCAACGGGCCGTCACAGGGTCCTCCATCGCTGCTCCAACCCCTGCCGGACTTGGATCTCTCCAAGCTACGGCTCCAGTTTCGGAGCCCTCCCTGTCTCGCCTCGCCTCATCTTTGTCATTTGTGGGTTCCTCGCCCTCTTGGTTCTCCTTTGTCGATGGGGCCGCCTCAGGCAAGGATTGGGCTCTGCCTACACCCTGGTGGCCCGGGCTTCTCGCCATGGGTGGGGTCTTTCGGCTTCCCCCATCGTGGCATTGCTTCTGGCCCCTGTGGTCAGCCTTGGAGCTCCTTGCCCCTTGGGAGTTCCGGGCCTTCCGGTCGCTTGGCGTCCTCCGTCGCGCCTCGTCTTCCGGGCTTGGTGCTCCTGTGTCTCTTGGCGATGCGACCTCCGGCAGATGGTCTCTGTTGGGGATTGCTGCAGCCTTGATCTCCTTCCGCATGTCCTGTAAGGTTGTTCTGCGGTTTGGCGCCCTCTGGATTCCCGGGCGCCCCAGTCAACAGGGCCTTGTCCTCTTGCGGCGGCTGCTTCCTTCTGCCGTCTTCTTGGACTTCTGGTCCCCTGCTGGTCCTGTTTTCCTGGCTGCGAGCTCTGCTTCCTTGGCCTCGTCTGCTCGCGCCATCATTGCCGGTTCTTCTCCTGCGGCCCCGCCCCCGCTTTCCTTGCGGGCTTTCTGGGCCTATCCGGCTGCCTGAGGCCTTTCGTTTTGTACAGGCTCCCTCTTAGTTTCTTTCTAGTTTGGCTACGATCCTACAGCAGGATCGTTTTTGGCCGTGCATGCTTTAGTTAGCACAGGACTCCCCTCTGGCATCAGTGAAGTGAAGTGAAGTCGAGATGTTATAGGGTTTCCTAACCCGAACCGAGTAAAACGCAGCAGTAGTTGCAAAAGTCGTAGCAGTAGCAGTGGCAGCCGTAGTAGAGCAGTATCAGCAGTAGTATTGGTGTGTGCAGCAGCACAGTAGCAGCAGCTGCAAGCCGTCAGCAGAAGTAGCGTAATGCGCGTTTCGACTGTCGGTTGCGATACGTTCGAGGCTGCATGAGCGCAAATCTACACTGCGACTGTAGTTGCTGAAAGACTTCACCCTTACAGAACCCTCATAGAGCTCTGATACAAGCCTCACAGAACCCTTGTAAACCTTCCGAATTGAGCCCCAAACCCATTGAGTTGTACCCCTGTAGCATTGTATGATCGTGAACTCGCTCGCGAGGGATCAGGCATGCAACCAACCCCTTCAACCCTAAACTCTCGACTACTTCAACGTTGCGCCGTAAGCCCCAAGCCCAAAACCCTGAACAATTATGAGCCGACCCCGGAAGACACATGACCCTGAACCCCAGACCCAAATTCCAGAGCCTGAGGCCCAAAAGCCGAAGCCCAAACCCAAACTGGATTTAGGGTTTACAGGTTTAGGGTTTAGGGTTTAGGGTTGTTAAGGGGACCCAAAACCCCCGACCCTCCAGGATGCACAAATAAGTTCTTGCCACCCCAGCACAAAAACCAACAGTCCTCACCCAGTAGACCCCGAACCTCATCTGGCCAATCCGAGTGTGAGAGGATACACCCGAAACCTCAACCCTAATGTAGGGGCCTTAATAACTAAAATAGGGTTTTGAGGGCTCCTTATAATAATTGCGGTCCAAAATATCCCCAAACCTTATTCTAATTTCTAAGGCCCCTATATCAAATCCTTATAATAGTAGCCGTTATGGTCCCCTGTAAAGGAACCCTATTCTAATTTTAAAGGCTCTTACATTATCACACACCTCGCTAGCCCTACAGCCCTATACTTATACGCCCCTAAAGGATCGCCAGCCAATCCTCCGTGAATGGACAGAACCTGGAGGCTGTTTTGGGAGTTGGGCTTTAGGGCTACCTTAACCTACCAAACCCTACTTTTTGTAGGGTCCCTATAAACTCCATATTAGGGTTCATAATAAGAACCTACAACAAAGTAGGGTTTGGTAGGTTAAGGTAGACCCTAAATAGTTCAGTGTTTGGGGTTTAGGGCTGCAGGTTTACCTTAAAGCCTGAACCCCTAACTGCAAATGGCAACCAAAGCTTTTTTTCTTGCCAACAGAGCGACCTGACGACCTTTCCATTATGGAAAGAGCAAAGGAGGGACCCTCATTCGGGGTTCATCTGCCATGCCTGCAATGCCAGGTTCTAGATTCCGGATTCCCTGTCTGCTGTGTTCGGCACTAGTAGCAGTCCATGTAGCATCGACTGTAGGAGCACAAAGTACGAAGACCCTTAGCCCGTTCCCCATTGATGAGACGTCGAAGTTAGACCCTTCCCAAGCTCGCTTGTGACATCAGCTCGAAACGCCGCTCAAGCAGTTGTAGGTCCATGCGACTAGCAGGGTGTGCTCGTGTTTTAAGAAAATAGCAATGCGAATGTTGGTTTTAGAATGCTATTCATATGGTCTGCAGATGTAGTAGGGATATCATCGCGTTGTGGTCCCTACATAGTTGCAGCATGACGTGCCGTGAAACACTGCCCCGAGTCCGTGTAGGACATGTGCGTACGAAGTGACAAGTGACAGCTCTTCATGCTTGTTTGGTTTTCTTTTCCCACCTAGCTTACCCGGTTGATGTTCCTTTGTTTACAGCCTGCGATATCCGACCGGGAAACGATCGGTCTTCACAAATCTCGAAGAAGTTTGACTCAGAATTGCGAGATACCGATATAACAGCTCCGAACAAAGTCGATATCGCAGACTTCGCCACCGCTTTGAAAGCAGTCGGCGAAGAATGGCGTGCTTAGAGATCTATGTGTCTGCTGTCTTTGTGTACACGTGCCCCAAGCTTTACACCCCAAGACCTAACCACTTCTGAGCTTCTGCGACTTATCAGCTTTGCGATTCTGGAGGCGGCATGGTGCAAGACAACGCACACCTCCATGTTTGCCATCGTGGAGACAATCCCGTTCGACGTCTCCTGCTGGCCTTTGGGTTTTGGGGTGTACTATAGGGGCCTTAATAATTACCTGTACTGTTTTGGGGGGTTCCTTATTAAGACCCTGTTCGAATAATCGTTATCATTATTATTATTGTTATTATTATTATCATTAATATTATCATGATTATTATCATGATTTTTATTATGATTATTATGATGATGATGATTATTATTGTTATTTATTATTGTTATTGTTCGTATTGTTATCATTATGTTGATTATTGTTATTATTATTATTATTATTGTTATTATTATTATTATTATTACTATTACTATTATTATTATTATCATTGCTATTGTGATTAAGGCCCCTATAGTAGAGGCTTGGGGGCTTTAAAGCGTTTCAGGTTTGGGGTTGCCGGGCTTTGAGCATTAGGGCCGGTTTAGGGTCTAGGGTTTAGGGTATCAGTTTTTGCAATCTGGGGTAGCCGTGTGGCACGAGCCCACAGCACAGTCGGCCCCTCAGTTCCTGGCATATGCGTAGTCCAGGTGTAAAAAAGGGTTTAGGGTATAGGTTAGAAGCTGCCCCCACCCTGTAATAGTGGTATAATAGGAATATACTCGGGCCCTAATATAATATTAATATACTCCTTATGGTCACTATTACAGGGTGGGGGCAGCTTCTAAGTTAGGGCCTTGCTGTAGGGTTTGAGGAACTAGGTGTGGTAAAGCCTCACGGTTCGAGGGTTGGGGTTCAGGATTTCAGCGGCCGGAGCCCCAAATCAGAAACCCCGAGGCGATAGTACGTAGATTACAAGCCCAGACCTTCCAAACCCCTAATATCATTTAAAGATTATTCCTTAATAAAGGGATTTTGGAAGGTCTGGGTAGGTTACAAGTATTGGGCACTTGTGCGGGTCTGCCTTGATAGCCTCATGATGGTACTCCGAAACCCATGCAAGACCGCATTGGTAAGTACGATGATCATGCAAGCAGGAGGCTCTAATCGACGAGCTCTCACCCCTGAACCGCAAGCCCTCAACCCGTGAACCGCTCTAAACCCTACACGTTTCTCTCTCGCACAGCCCGAAAGTCCGGTATCTATGCCGGCTGACAAAGATTCGCAGGGCTTTGGTTTGCTTCTGTTGAAGAGTTGTTTCTAGGGCTTGACAAGATGCTTGCTGGGGCCTTATGCGCGACTTCTAGAGTACATCCCGCCCTACTGTAAGAACTACTGTTGATGATATAAATCCTGCATTACCTTAAGGACCCTAAACCATGGGAATTATGGTACATTCCTTATAATGGGTCATGCAGGATTTATATCATCCACCGTATCACCTGATCTCGGCATTTGGGAGTCTTCAAGTAGGTCGTCACTCTGCTCCTTTCAGAGAGGCCTTTGGGTTTAGAACCAGGCTTCTGGGTTTTAACGTCTCAGGGTTCATGGGCAGCCCCTCTAGTTACGATAGGGGCCTCAACAATTACCTACCTATACTCTGTTGGGTGTTCCGTATTATAACTCTAGCATAATGGCCCCCAAAGCCCCATTCTAATTATTAAATCCCCTATGTTAGTGGCCCGAAACCCTAAAGCCTAAACCCCTAAACTCTAGTAGTTCTGGGGTGAAGGAGTCGCAGGTTCGAGACATCAAGCGTTCGGACCCCTGGGCTACGTGTCGGTGCATACCCCCTAAACCCTAAAACCTAAACCTCTAAACCCCTAAACCCCTAAAACCCTAAAGCCTAAGTCCTAAAGTCTAAACCTCTAAACCCCTAAACCCCTGAAACCCTAAAACCCTAAAACCCTAACTAGAGCCTTCCGAGGTCCTTTGGGAGACGAACGCCAGCAAGTTGAGCTTTGGCATGCCATTCCCTAAGGGCCCATGTACCTAAATAGTTTATACATTGGCCTTAAAGCACCCAGACCTTCCAAAACCCCTTAATTAAGGAATATTCTTTAAATCATATTAGGGATCCTATTCTAATTTAAGGTATATTCCTTAATTAAGGG